TTCACCCCTTTCGCTTCCAACACCTTAAACAGAACAGGGCCACAGTTGGACTTTCAATGCGTCCCAAATGGCACACCATTCACTATGCACTTAAGCACTTACACACTCAACAGCATGATATATGAATTTAGCATCGTCCCAATTGTAACAAATTCAAACTGTTTCCCCAGCCGATTCGCATGTTATCACTCCATTGAATGAGTGTTATCAGTGGTTATCAGCTGATAGATATAGGCCAGTAGGGGCCTTCTGCACCTACTGATAGGCTCAGAAGGTTGTTATCATCGATTCACATGGTTAATCAGCTATAAATCACATAGATCACATAAGTAGAAGTTAACAAGAATTATATATGATTTTTTAAAATTTCCCACTAATTGTATTTTATTAATGTCCAACCCTACCAAAACCCTAAACCCAACCGTCACAGTTATGTAAAAACAGATCTAGATCTGGAGCTTCTCTATTAGTATTAGCTTATTACCCATGTCTATAACATTTGAAGCGAGTGGTTTTTCAGATGATGTTTGGAGTTTGCCAAAGTAGTGATTTAATTGACCAATTTACAGAATAATACCTGCCACAAGTATAAACGCATTCACCATCAGGAGGCGGCATGATCACTTGTGTAGGAGAATATTGCTTTCCCAATCCAAAATAAATAATGTAATCCAATGTCAGTGTGGACACTTAGAGTATTCCACATCTTCCATGATTTGAGCAAAGCTGCGTGCCTGAAGCATCCAACATTTGACTTATTTCTAACGGTTGAATAAGTACATTATCTGTGTATTTACAGTGGACTTACTTTTTTAGAAGAAAAATAATATTTCAGTGTGAAAACACACTATTTATACTACAAAATGGCATAGAATAGTGCATTTGTTTGTGATTTGCACCTTTTCTCTTCACTCCTGATGCATCAGAGCTGCTGTAGACTTCCAGGATCCAGTCATACATTAGGGTGGGAATCCTGGTGATTGGGAAAAAAACTGTGTGCCAAGTTGTTGCTGTTGGAGGTTCTGGTTTGGGAGTGAGACTAAGGAGATAAGATGTAGTTTTGGGAGTCCGCTGATCTGATGGAGCATTCTGAGAGCTGAGGTGGAGCATTTTTGGCAGGTAGTGGTGTATGGCTTGTAATGTCTTGGAGAAGTGTTGAGGTTAAGCGTTCAGCAAAATCATCCACCTCTGATCCAAACAGGTGGAGGAGGAGGGGAGAGTCAAGGCCCCGATGCGATTCAAAGGTGAATAAGCAGATTATCTCATTAGCAGACATCTGGAGAACTCCATAAGATAGACTCAGGTTTTAGATAGGGGCTCTTTTAATATGTGCAAATACTATGGCAAGCCAGCAGCACATCTTCTCAGAATCATGGTTTCGTTGACAGAAGCATTGGATTCAGATGGCGGTAGGACCAAGTCCAACATAGGCTCATTCTGAAAATGTAGCCCTATATACATTTCTGTAGATCTTGAATTATGTAGCCAGAAGTATGTATGGCTGCATTTTGTCTTTAAAACAAATTCTACGAGGCGATATGACGCCGTTCCTTTTCGCGCTTACCAGTTGACCACTTCCATATGAACTGCATTCTGCTGTTCTCAGTGTACCCAGTAGCTCACCATGTATGTTGGTGGACTTGAGACACAGAGAGTTGACCACAAAAACAGGGATCAAGTCCAGTGTAGAACAGTTCCAGAAAGCGGGCAAGATAAAAGCAGAACTCGCAATAAAATAAACGAGTAAATAACAGGGCTAGAGTGTGGTCAAATCTAAAAATGTGGTAAATATCAGGCGAGGGCTTAGCTTTTTCAGGTTTGCTTTTAAAAACTGTTGGTTGGGTTTAGGAAAGTGGGTGGGTGGGTCAACTGGTGCTTTTAAAAACACTGTGGGTTGGGATTAAGGAAGGAGGAGAGTGGGTCAGTCGATCAGTCAGTCAGTCAGTCAACAGCAGCTTCTAGTAGATTTACACATGAGGAGCAGGTGCGAGGTGCAGTTGCGAATCGCGAGAGAAATTTGAGATCTAGAAAAACATAAACAACAGCCTCTGGTGAATTTGCAAAATCAGAAACTGCAAAAAAAAAAAATGTAGCTCCTATAGGACGTATTTTACTCTCTCCAGAAATGTATATAGAGGTACATAATCAGAATGAGCATCCACAAGGCAAGGTATAAAAAAGAAGCCCTCATTTTAAAAGCAGAAGAATGGGAAATCTGGATGGACCTAAAAAAGGAAGTGCTTTTTTTTTCTTCAAGAGAGATAGCAACAACTTATATGAGTAAAACAGCAGTTGTCCTCTATGTGCATTCAAATGCAATGACAGTAAATGCTCAAAAGGAAACCATAGTTTAACCATAGTATTTGGAGTAAATCTGTGCTTATACAAAGGGGAAAATTGACTGTAATATAAATATAATTAATCACATTTTACTTTGGATAAAAAAATGACTTTCCTTTCCAAATTTAAGTTAACTCACAGTGACACATTTATACTTCAACCACAACAAACACATACACACACAGAAGTGAGAGAGAGAGAGAGAGAGAGAGAGAGAGAGAGAGAGAGAGAGAGAGAGAGAGAGAGAGAGAAATGTGTGGGCATAAGAATTACTGGTATTGGAATTATATATTTATATCTGTCAACTTTGAAAATAAACCAAATACACACAAGGCTGGCATGGTCTTCAAAGAAAGGTATCATAAGCCTGTTTGTGAGCTCATTATTTTGTCATTCTCTACATGTTTTTAAAGGGTTGTATTCCCTGTATTTGATTTTGATATCTTACTACATACAACACTACTTTACAGCAACATTAATAAACAACCTGTTTTACAGTGAGCATACCCATATTGTGTTTATTTTATTTTATTTATTTTTTTATTTGAGAGCTAAACATGAGTCCTTTTGTTGTTGTGGTGGCTAATTTAGTCCAGAGGTGTGTTTTCCAAATCCATCGTTGGCCAACTAAAGTCGCAAGTTCATCATTACAAACATAGTTGATTGATTAGCCGTTTCCCAACTCCATCACTCCAACGAACATTCGCAAACTGCGTCGCAAACTTGAGCACTTGAAATTACACCTATGCCCTATTCATTTAGAACATTCTAACATTCAAAGTTGTAATTGTTAAAAATAAAATAGCATTAAAGTCATCTCTTTTAGGTGTAATTTGCTTTCAAACAGTTTTTACAGTTCAGTTTTAGCGATCTTCATGTTTATTGTGCTCCCTTCCAGTGCACTTTAAAAACATTGATATCATTTTGAACACAGCCTCATGGTGAAAGCTATATAGGTGAAGTATTATTCAAAAGCGGAATTCATGTTATGTCTCCAAAGCTTGTGAAAAAAAAAAAAACAGCATACGTTAATTCTTTTAATTTGGGTATTTATTAATAGGCTGTACATGACACAGGCCTGTTGGTTAGAACATTCTGCTGTGGTTTGCATGTGTCAAATTGAAAAAGTAGACATTTAAAAAAAACAATATCCTACTTAATAATAATAATAATATTAATATAATTAATAATAATAATAATAATAATAATTAATATGATTTAATTATTACAATAGGATTTTCTTTATTTCCTAATAAATAATTAATATTAAATTTAATTTCTTAAAAAATAGCCTCATTATTTATTTATTAATATGATCTATATATGATATTGTTGGAATATCAAGCCAATTCCATGCGTGTTCAAGAAAAAAAGGTCAGGAGAGGTTTTTCTTTAATGTCAAAAATCGTAACAATTTATTGGATACAAATGAATAATTCGATGACAGAGCTCTGGGTTACATTACCCCAATGCAATACAAGAATTACATTCAAGAGGTTCGCAACTAACATACATTTCCTAACTTCAGCATATATACACCACCGATCTTAACAGGTGGAGTTTTGGTGTAACGTCACTTGTCAGTCATTGTTCAGTCCTCCATTGGCCACACCTCTATGAATTCTCTGCCCAACAACAAAGTATACATCTTTCTGTGTTCTGTGTTCAGTTTTAACACCTCTCTTCAGACAGGAAGTTTCTGCAGAGCTGAATTTAATTTTGGACCCGCATCTATCTACTTCTGCAAAAATACTAATTAGTATGCACAGCACTCACCCACAACATTAAAAGTTCAGTTAATATATGACCCTTACATGACCAATACAAATAATTGATTGATTAAAAGAAAAGAGACAAAAAATAATAATAAATGGTTCCTATTATTCAATAATATTAGAATAGTGTGAGCCTTTGTAAGTGGTTTTATGTTTTAGAATAGAATATGGAATGTTCAACTTCTCAATAAAATTTGTAAAGAAAACATAGACCCTATATGTGCCATTTACATATATTTCAATTAATATAGAAAATGGGTGCATGTTTTTACCAAAACTAATATTGGATTTTATTTTAAATGCGTGTGCATGTAAAACAATATAATTTGCACAAAGAAATGCTGGTGTTCTTCTCTAAAGAAGTTGCACCCCGTTTAGAGCATCGTTATGGGCGTTTTACATTATAACTAATGTGGTTCATTATAACTAATGTGGTTCGATGTGAAACATTCATCACTACATAGTTCTTTTCTCAAACGATGCATCGTACTATGATAGTTCAGCCGTGAGTTACATTGTTGTTTGGGAAACGCACCCCAGTCCGATGAAAATTTTACCAAAAAGTGCACAAAATGATAATTTAAATGTCATTGTATAATATCATTATACTTTCGGATTGGCCAGAATCACCAGTCTTTATAAGTTAGTGGTGTTTTTGTTTCATAACCTATTGATTTTTACATACAACATTTTACATCTGCCATTGAATAATTTGCAATTATCTTTCTATCAGGCTGCTTATAAGACAGATAAACCATAGCTGTCTCTACACATGAACGTTTCACTCTAAAAGCAAGAGTTTCCTGACGTTGATGAATCCTCCAGAGAAGCTCAGCTGTAACCGTGATGAAACAGTGGTGGCCAGTTACATCATTCAGAGCAGCGCACTGAAAACAGGCCAGAAAACCTTGGATTTCTTCTACATTGTGTGTTTAATATTGACACACTTTTTATCTGTCCATCAATGGAGCATTTTATTACTCAACAAGCTCCTTGATCATTTGATTAATATTCTCCTTGATCCTTTTAAAGCATAATCAGTATTAGTCAATATTATCTTTTACTTGATCCATATAGGTTTCTGTTGGAAATCTTATTTATAACCTTCATATTACATAATATAATTATTTATGCTCTTTTACTCAAGTTCTTACTGTACAATTATTAAAAAAAAAATCTAATCTCAAAATAAATATCCATTTTATATACTGTTTATTATTACACAAAATCCCCAAACTGAAAAATACAAAGAGACAAATCCGTGCAGACATTTAAATTTTGCCTATTTATTAACCATATAAAGTAAATTGGTAGAAGTGTGTGTGCATACATGTGTTTGTGTGTGTGTGAATGGGAGAGTGTGTGGGTGTTTTGGGTTGCACAAATTAGTACACTCTCAGGGCTGGGTTGCAGCAGGAAGAGCATCTGCCGGTGTGCCAGATTAATTGGCAGTTCATTCTGCTGTGGAGAACCCTGATAAAGAAGGGAGCAACCAGAAGGAGACACAAAATGTAATACTACACATATTACTATATTACTAGCCATATAGTGCTAAAATTTTAATTCATCTTCATATTTCTGAATCACAGCTTACAAATATCAGCATAAGTAAGCTGTATGGTGAGCTGAATCTCTTTTACATTAACATATATTGACTTTTATTCTTCCAAAAGCAGCAGCAAAGCCGTTTGAAATCGCAGGTGTGCTTCACTTGTTTCTAAATCTAAATAGTTTCATGTGAATGAGTAGACAATCCATATATATCCATATTTTTCTGAAACAAAACATAGCACAGTTTGTGGTAAATGCAGTGTCAACAGACTTTAGCCATTAATAATCATTAATAAGCCCTCATGTTTAGAAACTGAAAAAATAAAACATTTCAGGAGATAAACATATACATAAATATAAATGTGGTATAGAATAATTTGTATAATATATATTGTAATCATTTGTAATATTTGTAAAATATAATAAATTGTATAATATATTGTATGGAATATACACATGGATGTTGTGTTGTTGTGTGTAAAATTATAACATTTTTGTTTTTATTTTACATTTACTAAGACAAAGTAGTTCATATCTTTAATATTGACAATTCATTTCTGTCATGATATGAAAATAATTCTTATCAGTGTTTTTTTTTTACTGTGTTGTTTACGTGAAGTTTATTTCTAAACAAATTTCGAGAGAATCACATGCTCATGATTGACCACAGCTGGTCCTGGATTAGCTAATGCATAATTCACCAATCAGATGATTCCTAACTCACTATAAATAGGCAGAGTTTCTTATCTCAATATCTTTGTCTTGAAGAATCCCCCCTTCCATTCCTACTCACCTCCCTTTTCCTTGATAGGGCGGCACGGCGGCCCAGTGATTAGCACTGTTGCCTCACAGCAAGAATGTCACTGGCTGAAATCCTTTCCAGGCCAGTTGACATTTCTGTGTCGAGTTTACAAGTTCTCCCCATGCTCACATGGGTTTCCTGCGGGTCCCCCAGGTTTCCTCCCACCATCCAAAAACATGCGACTTAAGTTAATTGACTAATCCAAATTGGCACCACAGACATGCTTCTAGTCAACAGTTATCTCTTAATAGCAATTCCTATTTAGTCATCAGTTATAAACCGTAGGGGGTTCTCGAGACCTACAGTACCTACAGTACAAGGCTCTCTCCTGGGACAGCATGCCAAACACTTTTTATAATCAATCATCAGCTAAGTGTGAACACTTGAATATAGATTTTTTAAGTGTCTACCATTTGTTTTGTCATTTGTTTTTATTGTTCAACAAGCTTTTACATTGTTTATTTTGTATATTTATTTAATTATTAAAGTAGAAGCTTGATATTTAGGCACCATATTTGCCAATATTATAAATATCCAAAAGTTTATGAGTAGGAATCGACCCTTTTCACAAGAAAAAAAAAAGCGTTTCAATTGTCATAAGCATCTAACAATCGCTAAAGTGTTTTAAAAAAATTATGTAGGCAGAGTTACATATGGCTGAATTTAATTTTTAAATCAAACACTTTGCGGCGGTATGATGTTCCTTTTCTTACCAACTGACCGCTTACCTCCATATGGATGGCTTTTTCACTGATACCAGTTTGTCCAGTTAGGTCGTCATGTACGTTGGCGGACTTGAGACACAAAGAGGAGTTGACCATGACGATGGGGTTCGAGCTGGGCAATGAACGGATCCAGAAAGCAGGTAAAGTCTGGTTTATACTTCTGTGTTGAGTGATCGCTGTGACCCACAATGCCTACCTTGCGTGTAGTCATGCATTTATGCTTCTGCACGCTGTTTGTGTTGCTCTGCAATAAACTTCCAAAACGCTAGCTGGCAATAGGTTATGTTCCTCTGTGTCGAGTTTCTTCACGAGTGTTTTATTTTTTTTAACCCTACTTTAATGTACAAGTAGCTAAACCTCGCTCGATCAGAGGTGGGAACCGGCTGACGTGCAACAACTTTAATCATAAGGTAAACACAAAACAAAACAAAAAAAAATGGCACAAAGTTGAAAAGTTGAGATCTGAATATCCTGGAACGTATTTGTTGCTCTCCAGATTTGTATATAGCGGTACGTTTTCAGAATGAGCCTGGGTTGTTAGTAATACACCATATTTGCTTCAAATCCCCCCCCCCCCCCACCCAAAAAAAAAACAAAAAACAAAACTTTCAAGTCATTATAACACTTTTATAGAGTAAATTGGAAAGCAAAAAAAAAAATTATATACATCTGTACATGACATACAGTATAGTAGACTACTCTCTCCTTCACTGCTCTTTACATTAAGTTTAGCCATCTTTAATGGCTTCTGCTGCTGAGAAACACGGACATATAAAAAGGGTCTTTTCTGAATCCTTTTTTAATATATAAAACCTTCATTTTACATAATTTGATTTTCATGCTCATTTCCCCAATTGTCACATTTAGATTAATGCTGCACTTACATTTCATTTTAAAAACTTAAATTTAATTTAAGCAATTTAAAAACACAGTTAAATGTCATTTTGATCACATCTCAAGATTAATATCCATTTTCAGATTATGCTGTATATTACAGTGAAACCTAAATTCACTTAATTTTGTTTTTTATTTGACATTTATTTAGACAAATAGCCCAGACCTTTAAAACTCTCCATTTATTGCTGTCATAAACAATCTAATCGGCCAGAATTTAATATCCGTGGTCTCCTACCTTTTTAATAGAAAAAAAATCTTTTTTTCTTAAAGTTTCCCTAAATCCTTTAGTTATCAACACAAAGATGATGAAAAAAATAGCAATATCAGTGAAGCCGTAGAGCTGTGTAGCATTACATCAATTGTCACGCAGTAATTTTCTACCTGCACTCCAGGTCTTGTCCAAAGGCAGCGTGGCGCAAAATGGTCGTTTGTCTGTGAATGTGAATAGTAAAAAAATCTCTTTTCAATCCCCAATCACATCAGTATTATTTTTTGGTCTATGAACATTGTGTCTCAATATGTGTCTTTTTCTTTTAATAAATGCTCTTTCTCTTCCATAATAGAAAACATCGGAGAAGTGACCTCTCTGAAGACGGCAGCCCTGGCTCCATACGCTCAGGTGGTGGTTTACACAATTCTTCCCAGTGCAGAAGCAGCAGCAGACAGCGTGAGCTTCCCTATTGAAGAATGTTTGCCAGACAAGATCAGAAAATCCCACTTGCAATCCATTGTATTCTTCATCCTTTTATATAATTTTAATCATTAATGTGTGATCAGAGCTTGAACCTCTTGCCTGAGCTTGTATGGGTGTCCTTAAAGTCGTACCTGAAGTACCTGGAGAGAGGGCATCTTTTGACATGCAAGCCAGTCCTGGCTTCTTGTGCTTTGTGTGGGCCATTGATCAGAGTGTGCTGCTGCTTAGACTGAGACCAAGCCCAACACGGCTGACGTATGCTACAACATAGCTTGCAACACATCTATAACTTATTAATAAACTCTTAAGAAGGGTCACAGATACACTGACGACCCATGACACTACGACTTCCCCTGACTCCAGCAGTAAGCACACCTGACAGTCAAACAATGCCCCAGGTTCAGTTCACAGAGCATGATCATGTACAACTTCAGGACTAGCTTTCAGTTAGTACAGTATTTGAAGTCAAGATTGGAAAAACCAACTGATTTATTAGAATTTTAACATGACTACTGATAAATTTAATCTTAGAAACAGCATGCTTGGGTGTTAATTCTGTTATAATGAATAATATAATTAAGTGTTGCTTGGAAGTCTAAATGTCTTACCATAATCCAAGTGGGAGTAGAGACTACATAGTTAACTTCTGGGTCACAGTGTGACATATCACAAGCAGATACAACAGTGATGACCAGGGCAATGTGTCACAGCACTCAGCTCACCACAGACTTCTGTATCAAAGTCTGTGCAGCTAATGGCCTACTTGGGTCCACACACTAACTCTGCACCTTTGCCTTACATGATCAATTGGGTTTAAACTGTGAATGATTAGAAGAAAGTGACTCGGTCTCACGAATCAAGATTCTAGGTATACAGCACATCAACTAACAGGTTAGAATAGTTGGGAACTTAAAAACTAATGGGTGAAAACATGCCAATTTTGGTTTTTGGCTGTCTGGAGTGTCATGCATGAAGTTCCCTCTGGGTTTCATACAGACCATATTTCCTGTAGGATTCCAAGAGGAGTCTTGCATTTTCTGTCTAGGATTTCTTGTAAGATTCTCAAACGAGTTTCCTCTAGTAGTCCTGTAGTAGTCGTGCATGTTCCCTGTGCAGTTTCTGCAAGTTTCTTGTAATTTTCTCATAGGACACCTCAAAAAATGACTGCGCAAATTACACTTAAAGACAGTTGTCATAAGCATCCATAAAATCTCAATCATACTTATGACATGTCATGATTAAAAAGGCTTCATGACAGTCTAATGAAGACTTTTTTAAGTACAGTAGTTTTGCAGACACCTGCAAACAAAATCGTTTGCTGAATGTGCAGCTTTCACTGACTTTGAATGAATGAATACTGAACCTACTTTGTGGCCTAATAGACTCTTTGCTGTCTGTCAGTCTACATACAGGACATTGTGTGCTTGTGAGGCCAGTTTGTGATTGTTGGAGCGTTTGTGTGACAGGTATGATGGCAAACGAGAGGAGACCAACATGGTGATCATTAACGTCAGGCTGCTGTCTGGGTTTAAGCTGGATGAGGCGTCTCTGCAGGCCGTGAGTGACACTTGAAGGGCTCTGCTCCTCTTTTATCTCAGGTTGTGCAGCCAGTGTTTGATTCCCTCATTCGTCCTCTTCTCCACAGCTGAAGGAAGACCCCACCGTCAAACGTGTGGATCTGGATGAGGATCGTGTCATTGTCTATTTGGAGAGTGTAAGTGTTTCCTTCACATACCTTGAGGGGTTTAAGACCTTTTATATCTATCTATCTATCTATCTATCTATCTATCTATCTATCTATCTATCTATCTATCTATCTATCTATCTATCTATCTATCTATCTATCTATCTATCTATCTATCTATCTATCTATCTATCTATCTATCTATCTATCTATCTATCTATCTATCTATCTATCTATCTATCTATCTATCTATCTATCTATCTATCTATCTATCTATTTATCTATCTATCTATCTATCTATCTATTCTGTCTGTCTGTCTGTCTGTCTGTCTGTCTGTGCCTATCATCCTCGATATATGATCAATTTCAAAATTTTATCACCCCCCCCCCCCTTCAAACTGCAGATGTTTACAATGGTTTCATCATTTTACTGTCTCCATCCCAAAGTATCACAATCCAACATGCTCCATGTTTAGTAAGAGTTTATTTGGGTCATTTAAGCTCTTTTACTGGTTTAGAAACTGAATGTTTTATTATCAATAAATAAAAGCTGCTCTCAAACTTTTTTCTTTTCTGTTTTTTACACTCAGTATGAGTGTTTTGTTTTCCTCTGGAGTCTTTAAAAGTAACACAGTCAAAAACAGTTTTCAAGCTGCTCAGATGTTTTAATAGTCTCTTCTTAGCTAAAGGAGCTCATCCTTTAAAATGCCTCTTTACTTCCGTAATATTATGTTAGAAAGCTAATTGAGAAAATTCTCCTACTGCTGCCCACTACAGCGGTGTCAGTTTCACTGCGTTCCAGGAATTACCAAATAATTTCAGTAAATGATCCCAACAAATTGCATCAGCAAACAACTCACTTCAGAGAGAGTGAAGTGTACAGTAATACCCCAAACAGTTCAGTATGTATCGCCTACTTATTGCTCAAAGTCTGATATCATACACAGATTTTACTTCTCAAAGATTTGAGGGCTGATGTGTAGAAAATTGTCTTCAGTAGTTAAAACCATCAATTAGTGGTAGCTTTTGTATAAAGTAGTCAATATTTAAAGTAGATCGAAAAAGATTATGAAAATTGTATAAAACTATTGAACAACAGTCATTCTTTTAGGATCATTTTGACACCTTTTTAACCACTCCATGTCCATATTGACTACTATATTACATATTCAAATCTCATACATATATGATTTGAATTAGCTTTGAAAGAATTTTGAAAGTTTTTGTACACATGTAAATTATATCAAAAGAGCAATGCACAATCCAATATTGTTGTTCACTTCCTTAACATGATGAAATACTGTTAGTATGAAGTAACATATATCCTCTGCAATACTGCTATGGAGTCAGATGAGTCTCAAAAATATTACATTTAATGAATACATAATTCATACACTCACCACAAAAGTCACATTTAGAAAATCTAATTCACCAATTCAAAACATGATTCAAAAATACACAAAACTATTTAGTAAATGTACAACATGATTCATTATTATGCAGATCTAATTCATAAATTCAAAACATGATTTATAAATACACAAATCCAATTTATAAATTCAAAATGGGATTCGTAAATACACAAATCCAATTCGTCAATTCAAAACGCGATTCATAAGTACACAAACCAATTTGTCTGTTCAAAATGTGACTTATAGATATGGAAATCTAATTCATAAATTCAAAACGCAATTCATGAATATGCAAATTCAATTAAAAATTCAAAACACAATTCATTATGCAAATGAAATTCATAAAGTTAAAACGCAATTCATGAATACACAAATCCAATTCGTCAATTAAAAACGTGATTCATAAATAAACACAAATCCAATTAGTAAATTCAAAACGTGATTTGTAAATATGCAAATCCAGTTCATAAATTTAAAACGCTATTCATAAATACACAAATCAAATTCGTAAATTCAAAGCGCAATTCATAAATATGCAAATCCAATTCATAAATTCAAAAGTGATTAATAATATGCAAATCCAATTAATTTGGTGAAAATACTCATACTTTTTGCTTGTGAATTCACAAATCGTGTGTTGAATTTATGAATTGGGTTTTGAATTTACAAATTGGATTTTGTAATGGATCATATAAATTATGCTGTGCATGTATGAATTTTATTTTGTAAATGTAATATTTTTGAGACTAATCTGGCTCCATATATTGCACATCTGAAATATAGCATTAGGGCTGCCCGCATCTGAAAGCACATACTACTCTATAGTACGTGAAAAGCAATATGTGAAGTAAGTCGTATGTCCGAATTCAAAGTGTTGAAAAACAGTAGGTGAGAAGTACCTGGATGACTTATTTCTGGCGAGATTCTGTAGTGTGCATCAAATGGACACTGCTTTTCCATAATGCCACACAAGAGAATTTCTGAATAGGAGTAGGTAGGTCATGTGATGTAGTACATCCGAAATAAATTCATACTACTCAAATACTGAATAGAACACACTTTAACTGTCATGTAGCAAATTCAAATATAGTGACTACTCGAATGTGGATGCCATGATTATTAAAATATTGTGGCTGAAGCTGACAAACTTAAGTCAACAGATAATAATATATATAATGATAATTAATAATAATATAGATAATGCTGCTTCCAACCTTTTTTGTAAAGAATATCTACTGCTTATAATTTAGAGTGTGTAGCAGAACAGTGTGCAAGTGTTAGAACAGACGTTATGTTGCTTAGTTACGTGCCCTGTCCATCATCTCGACACATTATCCACATTTCTTTCATATTTGATTTCCTACCATATTGAAGATGCAGCAGCAAATTAATCTGCCATTCACATGCCTTTCATGCAGAGGAATTGCCTCAGGAGATTGTATAAATTCTGCATTCATTAGTCGACAAGCAAACACCTCTTCGCATTGTTGTTGAAGGTGAAATATAATGCGGAAAACATGATTTAAATATTTTCCAGTAGGTCAGATATTAATTAATATTCCTTCAAACATCTGTACTGAATCCTCTCCACTTTACGGTCTCACATGTCTGCCATATTTGTAGTTTGTTAACACTTTTTACCAGCCTGATCTCACGAGAAAATGAA